ATTTTATAATATTAGAATAGAATTTTAACTCAGAATTATTGTACGAATGGGAAAAAGTAGAAATCAATATATTTTATTAGGAAGAGAGAAGAGATTTTTTAGGAATTGGGCGGGAAGTTAAAATTTCAGGATTTTGTTTTTATATATAGTATAGATAGATTGTATTACACTATTTTATAATATTAGAATAGAATTTTAACGCAGAATTATTGTACGAATGGGAAAAAGTAGAAATCAATATATTTTATTAGGAATAGAGATTTTTTAGGAATTGGGCGGGAAGTTAAAATTTCAGGATTTTGTTTTTATAGATAGTATAGATTGTATTAAACTATTTTATAATATTAGAATAGAATTTTAACGCAGAATTATTGTACGAATGGGAAAGTAGAAATCAATATATTTTATTAGGAAGAGAGATTTTTTAGGAATTGGGCGGGAAGTTAAAATTTCAGGATTTTGTTTTTATATATAGTATGGATTGTATTACACTATTTTATAATATTAGAATAGAATTTTAACTCAGAATTATTGTACGAATGGGAAAGTAGAAATCAATATATTTTATTAGGAAGAGAGATTTTTTAGGAATTGGGCGGGAAGTTAAAATTTCAGGATTTTGTTTTAATATATAATATAGATATAGATTGTATTACACTATTTTATAATATTAGAATAGAATTTTAACTCAGAATTATTGTACGAATGGGAAAGTAGAAATCAATATATTTTATTAGGAAGAGAGATTTTTTAGGAATTGGGCGGGAAGTTAAAATTTCAGGATTTTGTTTTTATATATAGTATAGATTATTATTATTATTGTAATTTGATTATTGATAAATTCACCAACTTTAACAATTTTTTGAACTTTATATTCATAACTAGTTTTTTACGCGCTTTGCGCGAATGGGATAATGCCCAATGATTATTTTTAAATAAGTATTTTAAAGTATATCAATGCAATATTATATAGGAGATGTTTATGCATAGGTAAATAAATATTAAAGTTGTTTATTTAAATCGGTAATTTAAAGTATATAAATTGAAAATAATATATGAGAGATTGATTATAATTATCTCTAAAATAAATGTTTGCAATTTTGTAATAACTCTAGTCTAAATACTTAGTTTTAAAGTGATAGTCTAAATAAATAGTATTTTTAGTTTAAATTTCTCTAATTCTTCATAATTCTCTTTTGGGTAGCATTGTCATTGTTTTCATCTTCAGTGGGCGAGGCTGGCTGCCTACGAGCCCCCGAGGAACTTCCAAGAACGCTAAGTCAACCCAAACAAGTTAATGTGGAAATATGATTGTTGTGCTCTTCCCCTGATCATCCCCTTGCTATGTGTTAATGTGTATCGGTTGTTGTTGATATTGAGTGGTGGCCACTACTGTTGTTGTGCACGTTGTTGATTGTTGACTGTTGATGATCATTGATTGATTATGATTGATTGTCCATGATGAGAAAAGATGAGATGTGATTGGTGAAAAAGGAAATGTTTGTGGTTGGAACAACGAGTGTCCGGTTATTGTACTGAAGGTACATGCCTAGCGGTTACTATGCTATAGGCACAAACCCACCTTAGACTATCTTGCTAAAGGCATGGGTCAGGTTATAAGTGTTGCGATGCCATGTCAGGGCTATATGCACTGAACATGTTCTTTCTTTTTTATTTTTTTGTTGGTAGTGTGTCATGTGCCATTAGGTTACTGGTGGCAGCATAGAGGGATTTATCATGCAATGAGATTATGGTGTAGGAAGCTTTAGATTTGCATTGTTGCGTATATGACTGATATTTTAGTTGTAATATGGACAATGATGTAAGAACAATTTTATCTGATAAAAAAAATAATTAATAGTATAATATTTGTAAAGTAATGTACAATTGTACCATTATAAAAAAAAAGTACAAAAAATATTAATACCATAATGACCTAAATCATTCTAATAATGCAAAAGCATAATTGAAATATTAAAAGAAGATTAATTAAACGTTTTTTTTTAAAAAAAAAAAAACTTAACCTAAATTTATTATTTTTTTTAAATCAAGAAAATCAAATGATTTTTAAAGTTCCCGATTTATAATCTTTGATGCTCGACTTTGAATGCTATGTATTTAGTCGGGCTAATTACTTGATCAAAGTTTATGTTTAATTTTATATTATATATTTTTTTAATACATTTTAACATATTCATAATATGTTTAAAAATTATGTCAACTCTAATCGGGATGAGGTTCGAACCTAAGACCTTACTTATATAAATTAATGAGTATGTTAATAATAATAAATAGTTAACGGAATATTCCGTTAATAAAGTTTATACTAACGGAATTTAGTGTTATTTTAGGGAAGGAAATAATATAATAGAGGGTAAATAAGGAAAATCATTAAAAATTACTAAAATCAAAATAATATTAACCATTCATTTTAAGAAACAATAGGACCGACATTTTTTTGTTCCAGTTAAGGGCCTAACATTATTCGCTCTTATTAAACGTGTAGATGTAGATTACTGAACTATATGTGAACATATTCACAATTATTGAATCTCTATATTCATAATTACATAACTATATGTTCATAATTATGCTCACAACACTATGTTCACAATTATAGAACTATATGTTCATAATTGTTGAACTATAAATTCATAATTATGAACAATTTTGGAATTGTGTCTACCTTGCAAGGTGGACACAATTCCACAACATAATTTTTCGGGTCAATAGTACTAAAAAAAAAAAATCTTTGGACTTCTCAATACTTACCCACATTGATGGGCAAGCAATTATTATGTTTGTAAAAGGAGCATTGCTCATCTTATATAGAGGAGCTCAAAAGCTCATTTTCTAAACATTTTCAATGTGGGATCAAATGATCCAACATCATTTACAAAGGGGAGTCCGTGACACCCTTTTGTCTTCTTCTTATTTATTTTAGTTTTAATTTTATTTTGTATTTCGTTTTGTTTGGATTACTATTATTATTATTATTATTATTATTATATTATATTATTATATATATATAGATAGATATATAGATATAGATTTTAAATAAGAACCTTTTGACATCTCAATACTTGCCCACATTGATGGGCAAGAAATTATGTTTGTAAGAGGATCATTGCTCCTCTTATATAGAGGAGCTCTCTCGTTTCAAACATTTTCAACGTGGGATAAAAATGATCTCAAAATCATTTACAAAGGGAGCCCGTGACTCCCCTTTGTCTTTTTTGTTTTTTTTTTTTTTTAATTTTAATTTTATTTTGTATATAGTTTTGTTTGGATTATTGTTATTATTATTGTTGTTGTTGTTATTGTAATTTGATTATTTGACAAATTCGTCAAAATTTTAAGAAAATCGTCTGTTTTGTTGTAATTCGGCCTATCAACTTGTTAGTTCTCGCGTGATAGTTGTATGGTAACGCATCGATTGTATGTATGAAGAATATTGCAATATGGAATGGAAGAGTAGAGAGAAAAACATAACACAAGAATGTAGAACTCAAAAACACAAGTTCTCTCTTTCATTATGCCTTGAACATGTATATATATACATCCATATAACCCTTCATTTTCTATAACATAAATAATGGAATAAATATAAGGCAAATGAAAGGTCTTGTGATAATGGCCATAATAATAATAATATTTATAACACTCCCCCTTGGCCATTATCAAACTATACTCATGCCTCGTTAAAAACCTTGCTAGAAAAACCTAGACGATGAAAAGAGTACACGAAGTATGTTGATCCATGTGTTGCACCGGTTGCCTCATTAAAAACCTTAGCCTAAGAAAACCCAGTGGGAAAAAACTTAGCCAAGGAAAAGAGTACAAACATAAGCCTTCTGGGCATAATCTTCAAGATTTCAAGAGTCTTCAGGACTATCCACTCAAGTGCACCAACATCGGTTGCCTCATTAAAAACCTTAGCTTAAGAAAACCCTGTGGGAAAAACTTAGCTAAGGGAAAAAGAGTACAACCATATGCTTTCGTAGCATAATATTCAGGATATCAAAAGTCCTCTAGATTGTCCATTCTAGCACAGCTAGGCGTTGTTGCTCCCCCCGAAGATAACAATCTTCTAAGCCCACGCATCCCAATTTTATGAACATATTACTCAAAAATGGATGTAGGCAGAGACTTAGTGAACATATCTGCAAGATTGTTCAGTGGGGAAAACATTCTCAATAAGAATTTTACAACTCTTCTAGAGTTCATGTGTGTAGAAGGATTTAGGTGCAACATGTTTTGTAAGGTTCCCCTTAACAAAACTATTACTTGCTTGTGCAACACAATCTTATTTGTCCTCATATGGGACATTGGGGGTAAAAATATAACATAACCAGTTTTGAACTTGGCATCATAGGGATAAAATAAAAGAGCTAATGCCCAAGTTGCCCATCAAAACCACATATTGGTTTCTCACATAAACGTCAAAATCTTTGTACCTCGAAGGTGTTGGAGGATATGTTAAATACCATTCCAATTTTCATTGTAGGGAGAAGCACTAAATCTTGCTAGCAATTTCATCGCAAATTCAATATCAGGCCTGATGCGATTATGGAACTTCTAGTTCAATAATAGTGCTCCAATAGCAATGAAGTAATGGACTTCCAGTCCCTAAATATCCTCATTATAACCTTCGAGTCTAAATGGTCATTTATCTACTTCAAGAGATTATTGGACAACCGTTTGTGCGATAAGTAAATAATACTTGTCATTTATGAATGATTGATCTTCAATATTTAAATCCACGTACTAGGTAGACTGAACTAGAAGTTCAGAAGAAGTAAACTGAACTAGAAGTTCAGTAGATAATTAATCTGCCAATATATATACTCATGAGTGACTAGGTCTTATATATTTTCCCCAACTTGGACCATATATATCTACCAATGCTCCTTGACGCCAGAAGCGTGGAGACATGTTGGTATAATCCGCGGAAAGCTAAATCTAGTAGAAAATGGTGTCACTCTTGAAATCGCTTAAAGAAGTATGTCGTGAAAAAATTCGTCCTGAAGGCGAAAACCCCAGTAAAATTTTAGGTGCACCCAAAATTATAATACTGGGGATGCGGAACGACCAGATAAAAATATCTTTGGGAAATGTCTAGTGTCTGGTTGAATTAGAAATTGCCATTATTTTATATATATGGGAGAAATTTATGAAAAATGTTATAGTTGTCGACAACAAAATTGCCTTTACAAATTGTTCTCGTTATATGAGAATCTGGATCAAGAGCTAGGTACCAGTTGTGCCTTGGTATTTTTTATGTATAACGGAGCAATTAAGGCATGTACAGCTCAGCTCGCTAAAACTGTATTCTCTTTATAACACGTACACCATTTAATGTTAACCCTGTAGGTTACAAATGGGTGTTTGTACGAAAGAGAAATACAAACAATATGGTGGTATGATATAAAGCGAGACTAGTAGCTTAAGGGTTTACGCAGAGACCCTGAATTGATTTTGATCAAATATTCTCTCCCACAACATATGGCATTACGTTCCGCAAATTAACATTATTGGCAGTGAATTATGAATTTAGATATGCAGTTGATGAACGTCATGACCGTAATTTACTGGTCATTAGACGCTAATATTTATTTGTAAATCCCCGATGAATTCAACACTTTTGGAATGTGGAAAGTGAAAATCTCAACGTGTATCATTAAACTACTAAAGTCTTTGTATGACTTGAATATTATTGACTGAGTGTTTTCCTCCCGAAGAAGGAATGTATAAATAATATGTACCATTATGTGTTCGTTAAAGAATTGCTAATGGAGTTATTTATTTATCATCTCAGTCGATATTGACGGTTTAAATATCATTGAAACACATAGAGAGCTTGGTGATATTAGCTCATGCCGAAAGATGCAGTTTTAAAATAAAAGACTTGGAAATCCAAGTATTGTCTCGACCTGAAGATCGAGCTTCTCCTTGAAGAAGTTTTATACACCAGTTAGCCTACTTGAAAAATATCTTAAAGATGTTTTATATAGACAAGTATTATTTACTTATCGCACAAACGGTTGTCCAATAATCTCTTGAAGTAGATAAATGACCATTTAGACTCGAAGGTTATAATGAGGATATTTAGGGACTGGAAGTCCATTACTTCATTGCTATTGGAGCACTATTATTGAACTAGAAGTTCCATAATCGCATCAGGCCTGATATTGAATTTGCGATGAAATTGCTAGCAAGATTTAGTGCTTCTCCCTACAATGAAAATTGGAATGGTATTTAACATATCCTCCAACACCTTCGAGGTACAAAGATTTTGACGTTTATGTGAGAAACCAATATGTGGTTTTGATGGGCAACTTGGGCATTAGCTCTTTTATTTTATCCCTATGATGCCAAGTTCAAAACTGGTTATGTTATATTTTTACCCCCAATGTCCCATATGAGGACAAATAAGATTGTGTTGCACAAGCAAGTAATAGTTTTGTTAAGGGGAACCTTACAAAACATGTTGCACCTAAATCCTTCTACACACATGAACTCTAGAAGAGTTGTAAAATTCTTATTGAGAATGTTTTCCCCACTGAACAATCTTGCAGATATGTTCACTAAGTCTCTGCCTACATCCATTTTTGAGTAATATGTTCATAAAATTGGGATGCGTGGGCTTAGAAGATTGTTATCTTCGGGGGGAGCAACAACGCCTAGCTGTGCTAGAATGGACAATCTAGAGGACTTTTGATATCCTGAATATTATGCTACGAAAGCATATGGTTGTACTCTTTTTCCCTTAGCTAAGTTTTTCCCACAGGGTTTTCTTAAGCTAAGGTTTTTAATGAGGCAACCGATGTTGGTGCACTTGAGTGGATAGTCCTGAAGACTCTTGAAATCTTGAAGATTATGCCCAGAAGGCTTATGTTTGTACTCTTTTCCTTGGCTAAGTTTTTTCCCACTGGGTTTTCTTAGGCTAAGGTTTTTAATGAGGCAACCGGTGCAACACATGGATCAACATACTTCGTGTACTCTTTTCATCGTCTAGGTTTTTCTAGCAAGGTTTTTAACGAGGCATGAGTATAGTTTGATAATGGCCAAGGGGGAGTGTTATAAATATTATTATTATTATGGCCATTATCACAAGACCTTTCATTTGCCTTATATTTATTCCATTATTTATGTTATAGAAAATGAAGGGTTATATGGATGTATATATATACATGTTCAAGGCATAATGAAAGAGAGAACTTGTGTTTTTGAGTTCTACATTCTTGTGTTATGTTTTTCTCTCTACTCTTCCATTCCATATTGCAATATTCTTCATACATACAATCGATGCGTTACCATACAACTATCACGCGAGAACTAACAAGTTGATAGGCCGAATTACAACAAAACAGACGATTTTCTTAAAATTTTGACGAATTTGTCAAATAATCAAATTACAATAACAACAACAACAATAATAATAACAATAATCCAAACAAAACTATATACAAAATAAAATTAAAATTAAAAAAAAAAAAAAACAAAAAAGACAAAGGGGAGTCACGGGCTCCCTTTGTAAATGATTTTGAGATCATTTTTATCCCACGTTGAAAATGTTTGAAACGAGAGAGCTCCTCTATATAAGAGGAGCAATGATCCTCTTACAAACATAATTTCTTGCCCATCAATGTGGGCAAGTATTGAGATGTCAAAAGGTTCTTATTTAAAATCTATATCTATATATCTATCTATATATATATAATAATATAATATAATAATAATAATAATAATAATAATAGTAATCCAAACAAAACGAAATACAAAATAAAATTAAAACTAAAATAAATAAGAAGAAGACAAAAGGGTGTCACGGACTCCCCTTTGTAAATGATGTTGGATCATTTGATCCCACATTGAAAATGTTTAGAAAAAGAGCTCTTGAGCTCCTCTATATAAGATGAGCAATGCTCCTTTTACAAACATAATTGCTTGCCCATCAATGTGGGTAAGTATTGAGAAGTCCAAAGATTTTTTTTTTTTTAGTACTATTGACCCGAAAAATTATGTTGTGGAATTGTGTCCACCTTGCAAGGTAGACACAATTCCAAAATTGTTCATAATTATGAATTTATAGTTCAACAATTATGAACATATAGTTCTATAATTATGAACATAGTGTTGTGAGCATAATTATGAACATATAGTTATGTAATTATGAATATAGAGATTCAATAATTGTGAATATGTTCACATATAGTTCAGTAATCTATATCTACACTTTTAATAAGAGCGAATAATGTTAGGCCCTTAACTGGAACAAAAAAATGTCGGTCCTATTGTTTCTTAAAATGAATGGTTAATATTATTTTGATTTTAGTAATTTTTAATGATTTTCCTTATTTACCCTCTATTATATTATTTCCTTCCCTAAAATAACCCTAAATTCCGTTAGTATAAACTTTATTAACGGAATATTCCGTTAACTATTTATTATTATTAACATACTCATTAATTTATATAAGTAAGGTCTTAGGTTCGAACCTCATCCCGATTAGAGTTGACATAATTTTTAAACATATATTATGAATATGTTAAAATGTATTAAAAAAATATATAATATAAAATTAAACATAAACTTTGATCAAGTAATTAGCCCGACTAAATACATAGCATTCAAAGTCGAGCATCAAAGATTATAAATCGGGAACTTTAAAAATCATTTGATTTTCTTGATTTAAAAAAAATAATAAATTTAGGTTAAGTTTTTTTTTAAAAAAAAAACGTTTAATTAATCTTCTTTTAATATTTCAATTATGCTTTTGCATTATTAGAATGATTTAGGTCATTATGGTATTAATATTTTTTGTATTTTTTTTTATAATGGTACAATTGTACATTACTTTACAAATATTATACTATTAATTATTTTTTTTATCAGATAAAATTGTTCTTACATCATTGTCCATATTACAACTAAAATAACAACAAAAATATCAGTCATATACGCAACAATGCAAATCTAAAGCTTCCTACACCATAATCTCATTGCATGATAAATCCCTCTATGCTGCCACCAGTAACCTAATGGCACATGACACACTACCAACAAAAAAATAAAAAAGAAAGAACATGTTCAGTGCATATAGCCCTGACATGGCATCGCAACACTTATAACCTGACCCATGCCTTTAGCAAGATAGTCTAAGGAGGGTTTGTGCCTATAGCATAGTAACCGCTAGGCCTGTACCTTCAGTATAATAACCGGACACTCGTTGTTCCAACCACCAACATTTTCTTTTCCACCAATCACATCTCATCTTTTCTCATCATGGACAATCAATCATAATCAATCAATGATCATCAACAGTCACCAATCAACAACGTGCACAACAACAGTAGTGGCCACCACTCAATATCAACAACAACCGATACACATTAACACATAGCAAGGGGATGATCAGGGGAAGAGCACAACAATCATATTTCCACATTAACTTGTTTGGGTTGACTTAGCGTTCTTGGAAGTTCCTCGGGGGCTCGTAGGTAGCCAGCCTCGCCCACTGAAGATGAAAACAATGACAATGCTACCCAAAAGAGAATTATGAAGAATTAGAGAAATTTAAACTAAAAAACTGAAAGCTAAGACCTGGCTAAAAAACAATCAAAAAACAATCAATGAACCATGATAGACTTATTTCCGGAGATTGGACGAAATCAGGAGAAGTCTCGCATAAATGCGAGATCGGTTACTCCATGTCACGAAACCAGAATCGCGAATCGGAAACAGGTTTCTGTGAGCTTTTCGAAGATAGATTGGAGCGATTTATGTGCGTTGGAGGAAAAATTTTCTCTGATTGGCAGATTTGTGAAGGAAGGACCGTCGTTGGAAGGAGTTAGGTCAAAAATTACTGGAGTTCTTCGACTGGAAGGAGATATTAAGGTTGGATTCCTGGACAAACGAACATTCCTTTTACGATTCTCACAAGAATCTGATTGTAGAAAAGCATGGCTACGCGGTCAAGTAATGATAGACGGAGTTAGGCTGTGGTTGACGAAATGGAGACCAAACTGGTTTGAGAACAGAGACTCTCCCCTAGCCCTGGTATGGTTTCAGTTAAGGAATTTACCTCTACATCTATTTAATTCCCACTCCCTTTCCCGTATTTGTTCTCCGATGGGGAAAGTTGTGGACATCGACTCAGCAACTCTCCGGAAATCTAGACCAAATGTGGCGAGAGTGAGACTGGAAATTGATGTATCTTTGCCAATAATTGATAAGATTTGGATCGAATTTGTGAATGAGAATGGAACATTGAATGGTTTCTGGCAATATTTCGAAGCTGAGAATGTTCCGCGGTATTGCACTTGCTGTGGACATCTCGGTCATCTTGTACAAGTTTGTAGGAAGGCAAATGGAACGTTGAAGAGGCCAGTAGTGAGGCCGGAAAAGGTTGGAATGGTTATGGGAAGGGGGGTGAGTCAGGAAGATGATCGGAGAGTTGGAGGGATGCCAGCAGATGCAAAGAAAGCTGGTGGTTCTGGCTGTCCGCAATCTGCTCGACAAAATGCCTATAAGAAGACTCAATTTCCGAGTGAGAAAGAACTGGCCTCTAAGGCTGATGATATAATAATGGAAGCAGCAATGGGACTACTGTTGTGCCTTTGAGATGAGTTTAATTGTAAGCCTATTTGGGCCTTGTTTGGTTTGGTACAGAAATGCTGAACATGGGGAGCTCACATGGTGACCTTGAAGAATGGGATGATGGGGAGCTCACATGGTTGTTTGGTTAATCCATGTGGTTGTAGCTTGATACAAGGAGGAATAGGAAGGTCCACCTTGTAAGGTGGACCTTTATGGTTGTTTGAAATCAAAGCCGAATGGCCTTGTGTTGGTTTTAATGGTAGTTTAGGCTTTGTGCCCTTGTGATTT